TTGGGACACAGAACATAGGGAACTGCTAAAATGGGAAATAGCAAACAAATGGGATGACAATTTGTTTTGTGTGTGTTAGTTTGTCTTTTTTTCTTATGGGGTACAGGATTTTGACAGGCAAACCGTATAGCGTTCGCGCTACTGACTCCTATTCTGGGCCAAATCTCTCAGCGTCTCCAACCGACGACAATCCTCACCCATTGGGCCTTGACCTGGGAGGCAGGCTGCACGAACCGAGTAAGTAAGAGCTGAAGTTGGAAATGGTTTGAAATTCAATCAAATCCTCTATTACTCACATGAAAGAAGTAGTCAGGTTGTGAATGTTTCCAACCGAGTCATAACCCGGAGGCTAGTGCTGAGATGAACAGCGTCTATGGCCCGCAATAAGCTCGCAAAGATCGTGTAAACGGAAAATGAAAAATGATCTGTTCAGCTGCCCGGTGGTCGAGTAGGTGGCATGCTTGCCTTCTGCCTGTGAGGTCCCGGGTTAGATCCCCAGTGGGGTCAATGAATTCGCACTGCTGATGAGACCCAACCAGGTTGAAATAGCTGCCCATTGCTTCCTAGATTTTCAGTTCACGCTTCATTGGCTACATACACAACGATTTCATCTGTGAAATTGAATCAAATCCTCTATTACTCATTTGAAAAAAAAATAACTCACTGTTAAGATTGTGGTGAATGATTCTGGGTAGAGGCGGTTTAGGGAGTTTTGGTTTTTTCATATTCGCCGGTAGCTCCCTAGGCATTGATCCGGTCATCGACTGGGGTCTATTCATACCTGGGATCCTTGCGTTTATGGTTTGCCTAAAGGGGTTTCCTATACGGTGTTGCTTTTGGGCAGTAACTGTCCTCCGCTCACTGGGGTTTTAGGCCTCACTGACTCTCAAACTGGTGTATGCGCTTTGTTGAGCAGCCCACTGGAGTTTGGCAGGTGATGCGTCTTGCTGACGCAGATGTGTAGACGAGGAAGTTCAAAGAGTTGGGATTATCCCCAGTTCAGATGTGGTTCTACTCTCACCTACTCTTTTAAGGTAGAAAAGTCATTCTGAATGGAATCAATAAATGACATCAGATCAATCCCCTAATTTGCATTGTGATATCCCGAGGAAGGGTTCACATTTGACTGGACTTGAAATGTTTCCTCAATGTAGCATTTAGTATTCCTATTGCTCACATTGTGATGTGTGCTTGCTGGGCATAATGTTCATTGACTGATGAATTACCCGTTGTTTTGTTAATCGATAACTAATAAACATGGTTGAATTTAACCAGGTTGTGTTTCTGTAGTGTTATCTTGTTTTGGTTTCAGAGAAATTGGGATTGAGACAGGTTGCCAGAGATGTGTCCCCTCGAACTGTTCATATTTGGGCTTCGCAGTTACTAGCGAACCTTAAAAATCCTTAACTTTCAATACTATTAATAGTCGACTGCTTTACTTCCGTTTTTGCCTATTCAGTATTCAGACTGTTTCAGGAGGTAAGCGGGGGTCATACAAAGACTGTCTGGGGAAATGCAGAAATAGGAAACATGGACGACCGGGGCCGAATTCGAGTTCAGAACCTTCGGGTCAAGGTTTTGATAACCTTAACTACATGCCGACTACCGTCCCTTAGCCATCAGACCGAAAGAAGTGAATTTTAGAAAAGGTCATGCGTAGCCCCCCTGAATATTGGCATTCCAGGAACAGAATTTTGAAAGTTGTACGATCTGTTCGGGCCATTAACGATAGGGGATTCCGCTTGCGGTTGATTTTAAAAAATAGATAACACCTATAGTGTGTGGTGCTAAAAATCCCGTGTAGTGCTTTGCCCACGAACTGTTATCATATCTACATGCATTGCGCTTGTCGAAACTGTCAATCCGGCGCAAACCCGAACTGGATTTTTCTCATCACACGTTCCCATATGCCGTTGTTTGTTGCGCTTTCAAGTACACTGTATACTATCTTTCCCTAGTTCCGAAAGTTACATTTCATTTGGTCATTCCGTATTTTGCGAATGCCATTTTTGTCGCTCATGTTCATGCACCCTACTTCGCTCCAAATCACTTTTTTACCACATGCGATTAGAGCGTGTCCCACTGTTGCTCTGCACGGACGGGGGCTGGGGGATTTGCACACCTGTCCAGCAGTGTCGCACTTTTCGCGTCATCACTTATTGATTTCATTTTTGTACTCTCCCTCACCCCACCCCGGCACATCCCCTTGCCAGTACGATCAACGAGCAAGGGAACAGCGACAAATGCATGCCTCGTCTGAGGCCCTAGTCACAGAATTGGATCTGAATCAGAATGTGTAAGTGGCTTGAACTGTGTGTATGTTTTCGTGCGTGCATGAGTGTGTTTGTTTGTTTGTCAGTTCTTTTCCTATCGCCTCACCTTACTGCCAGAGTGGATTCCGAACTGTAATGTGTACCATGTTTCCGAGAGACGGAAACACTTCTCCCAGTTCGGAATCCCCGAATGGATGCCGTGATAATACCCAAGTTAACTTACTAGCAGACATATTTACGGTATCTGGGTGTTTGTTTTCAACTCCTACATAGTTCCCATGAGAGATATGTACCATTTGTTGGGTTCGTTGGATTCCAATGTTTGCGTTTTCTTGTTCCTGTTTGTTTTGCGATAACGAACTTATACTGTCCCGGTCTGATCATACAATTTGTCGTTGTTTTCGGTTATTTAAAGCAATTAACGCACGGATTTCTTCTGTCTTTATTGACATGCGGTAGGTACAGTTCTCCAGCATTTCACTCGTGCCTTAGAAACGTGCAATTCACGACACGCTTTGTTTCATCCGGGTCTGAATATTTGTCCTCAAATTACTCAGCAAAAAGTATAAGGCATTTTGAAGAATAGTTAGTTACAGTTTGTACAACCAATAACGATGCACTTTCATGCACCGTTTCTCGTTGCTGTCTTTTGATTACCCATTTGGATGAAGCAGTAGAAGAAACACAGAGAAGTTGAAAGTAAAGTCGAAGAAAAAATGAAAAAAGTTCTGCTGACTTAGGTTGCGAGGAAATTATACATGGCATGAGCGCCAATGTTTACGACACTCAACCATATTACTCAGTGTTTCTAACAGTCTGTTCCCATGATCCGGAGGTTTCCATCCAGCAAGCCTAACGGGGCATATAGGACCCAATGTTAGCGTTTACACACTTTCATGCCAGGTCTTAGTTTGAACACCTTTGAT